CCACTGGCAAGACGCGCAACGGTGTGTCCGGCGCGTCTTTTTTTCTGAATTTGCTCCTCGCAATATTATAATGTGACACACACCTTTTCACCTTTAGGTCCTTGATATGAATTTGGTGGAAGAAAATAATGACCATTATGGCGTCTTATACACTTTTCACTCGTCACGCTCGATTCTTTGTACAGTACCTGAGTAATTGCGAAGCGGAACTGGATGAGTGGAGGGCCCGCAAGGATTATGCGTATTTATCTCCGGAGTTTCCTATTTGTCTGTATATTGAAATAGTATAAATCGATTGGGAGGAAAATGCCAGAGCAGCCGTATCAAGTAGTAGATCATGTGATTTTCTATGATTTAGCCCTAATCTCACCAAATACGGCTAGACACAATATTGCCCACAACTCTCCCAGTATTTCAGCGAACTTTTGCTGGGGTACTTCTCCATCCCTCAAGCGCAAATCCTCACCATAAGAATCAACTTTCTTCTGGAAGACTGTCGCCATCATGTCGAAAATCACAGTCGGTACGTTGAAACCACAGACGAATCATCCTGTGCCCACAGAATAATATTTCTTTCCCGAAGGACCCGCATCATGAAAGATCTGTATTTCGGAAGCTAACACCTCATTTTATTCTCACCACAGCCGGAGTGCGCCAAAATGTCCAACAACTCCTCGATTACTCGCTGAATGAGAAGAAGAGAAACTTTCTCGAGACCGTTGAGCTCCAGATAGGCTTGAAGAACTACGATCCTCAGCGTGACAAGCGTTTCTCTGGCACCATCAAGCTGCCATCCGTTCCCCGCCCGGGCATGAGCATCTGGTGTGTTTTCTATACCCAATACCAGCCTTACGCTAATATCGGCACATTGGAAACAGAAAACCATGTCGAGAACTTAGTGTACTTGATGATATACATATATATACTAATTTAGATGTCAATAGTGTCCTCGGTGACCAGCATGATATTGATCGTGCTAAGCATCTCGGCATCGACTCTATGTCCACTGAGGACTTGAAGAAGCTGAACAAGAACAAGAAACTCATCAAGAAGTTGGCGCGCAAGTATGATGCATTCGTCGCCTCCGACAGCATCATCAAGATGGTTCCCCGGCTTTTGGGGCCTGGTCTTTCCAAGGGTTGGGCTTTCTTGTTCCTTTCTTTTTCTTTTTTTAAAAAAAAAACATCTAAAAAATCCCTAATGGACTAATGAATTTTGTGTGTCTTTGCAGCTGGTAAATTCCCAACCCCGGTCTCCCACGCAGAAGATCTCTCCAACAAGATCAACGATGTCAAATCCACCATCAAGTTCCAGCTGAAGAAGGTTCTTTGTCTTGGTGTTGCCGTTGGCAATGTCGGAATGACTGAGGACGAGCTGATCTCCAATATCATGTTGGCCATCAACTACCTTGTCAGTTTGTTGAAGAAGGGATGGCAGAACGTTGGCAGCTTGACGATTAAGGCGTCCATGTCTCCACCCAAGAGATTATATTAGATGCGGCCCTGTTTCTTTATCGCATTTACATCTTCCCTCTCGTTGGGGTTGTGTGATTCTTGTGTTTCGCCAAGCTGGTCAGATTAAGTATACGTAAAATATACATTAACGAAATAGAATTGTTCCCAGCCTGAATCACACTCAGTCTGTTCACCGTTGTCAGGAGACGTAGACATCCAAATCAATTTTTGCTTAATAATCTAATTCTAAGATAACTAGGTAAAAGACGCTAATATATATACACGGTATACAATCAGTATGCTCCAAAATCATGGGAACAAAACACAATTCTAGCTAGCCACCTCCCCCCAAATCACTCCATCCCCTCCATCAAATCCGTCTTATCCAAAATCATCCCCCGCATCCCAATAAATTCTCTCAGGCTCTCCCACTCCTCCCCTTCCTCCTCCCCAATCCTCCTTGGATCCTTAAATCCCCAAGCAACCGCAACTTTATCCATGGCAGCTCGCTCCTCCTCGCGCAACCAGCGCTCCCGCAACGGCATGCCAGGTATCCACACCACGCGCATCATCTGGTCGTTCGCTGTGGTTATCGCAACCACACCGATAGACGAAGTAAAGCCTATATAGGCAAGGATTGCCGAAAAGGAAACCCAGAGGGCGGTATTGGGCTCCATGGCGGTTTGGAGAGTGGATATATATGATGCTGCGGCATATGCTGCTGTTGGGGCCGTCGCGAGGCCGGCTAGTGGGAGAGCAGCTTTGCGAAATATTTTAGATCGGTAGTAGGCTTGTTTGCAGAAAGATTCATCTATGATCGCAAGACAGAGGGATAGGTTCTTTTTCTCAATGGCTATGTCGAGGGCGAGGTTTGCGAGATCTTGTGGGATTGCATTCTTGACAGTTTTGGGGTTTGGTTTACGATAGGTAATGGTGGAGCCGTTGTCGTTAGGAATCGGTTTCGTGGCGTAAAGAGAGAAGATCTCGGGGAAGTAGTCGGCTTGCTTGAGCTGTGATTGCAACAGGGTGTATTGGCGGAGGACATCCGGGGAAATGAAGACTTTAGGTTCGCGGAGGAAGTCGTTTAGGGTTGATGATAGTTCGCTTGCTATTTTGGATTGGAGGTTTGGCATTTTTGAGGGCTGTTTTGTTGATTTTTTAGGAGTGTTTTGAGTGGTCGATGAAGTGCCATATCCTCCATTCTCTACGTCTAGATCGAGGAGGGACGATGTGGCATTATTATCACTTCGCGGAGAAGGAGGTGAAGTTGCCTTATTGTTGTTTGACAGTGCGATTTTCGCAAGCTCGCTGCAGCGTTGCAGGAATTGCCGTACGGCATCGTCTGTTGGAACGCGGGGAGAAGAAGTTATGGTCTTAAATTCTTTCAAGACTTCACGAAGCATAACCTCAGGGTCACTGCCAGCACTCGTGCTAGGAGCACCTGATATTAATCTTCGCGCAATGCCATTTCGCGGATCGAACGCAGGGCTGAACTTCCGTTGTTGTTGTTGTTGAGGCGCAACATTTGGATGTGGGATGTTTAATCGGGAAGCACGAGTTGAAATTGAAGAGGTATGAAAGCTTCTATGTCGACGAGGTAAGTATTTTAAAAATTGACAAAGTTGGCAAACCGGCCCATAAGCCCTCGAGGATTGAGACGTAATACGCTTCATTATAGAATTGAGATACTCCTTGCAGGTGTCTTTATTCAAAGTTCTTCCATCGAGTGGTGGAAGTTATCAAGTTCTAGTTAGTTACATTTTAGCCTTACCTAAGCCGCCGCTAAACCACGCTGGGACATCGACAAAGACAATGAGGAATCATCCTGTTTGAGCTGCAACATAGCCATACTCCATTTCCACTTCTGCATATCATATCTACCGGTATATTCACGAATGGGCCCATGTTGAGACCCTGCTGTGGGAGTTATATTCCCTCTTCTTTCCCGCCTATATACACTTGAACATACTTGTCCGCTTTTACTAGCCGTCTGCCTACAACCTTCCGCTGCTCATTCACCTCCAACCATTACGACTGCCTGCCTGCTCAACTGGTTTTGCTGCTTCAAGGCAACATGCCTCCCCCACCTCCTCCTCCCCCGCCACCCCCTCCTGCGGCTGGCGGTCCACCAAAATCCACGAACTTACCAAGCAGGTCTCCCAAAGCAGCACAAGGCCGGGTATGTTGTCATGATTTTCCCTGCGATATGGTGTCTCCACCTAACAATATATTTTTAGGGAGCTCTTCTCTCAGACATCTCGAAAGGCACCCATCTCAAGAAAACCGTAACAAATGATAAATCGGCCCCTATAATTGGAAAGTCCTCCGGAACATCGGGTGGTCTTTCAGTTGGCGGAGCACCGCCGGTTCCTAGCATGCCCAAGGCCCCTAACGGATTAGCCCCGCCTGTCCCTGGTGGAAATCGATTGCGGAGTAATAGCGACCAGGGCCGTGGAGGAGCTGACTCGGGCGCGACTCCTGGTGCTATTGCTCATGAAAGCGGGACGATCCCTTCTGCTCCGCAATTAGGTGGATTATTCGCTGGCGGCATGCCTAAGCTTAAGAAGCGTGGTGGAATAGACACGGGCGCGTGCGCGGATGCTTCATACCTTTCAGACTCTGAAAGCTCTCGAAAACCTGGCCCGTGGACTCCCACTGGCAGTGCTCCACCACCACCACTACCAAGTGGTCGTCCGCCACCTCCAACACCAGGTGGCCCTCCACAGGTCCAAGAGAACCCCCTAGTTGCAAATTTACGAAAGATCCCCCCCCGCACGTCAGGAAGGCCTTCATCCTCAATCTCATATATCTCCACTAAATCAGCTCCAGAGACTCCTTCACGACCACCTCCTCTTCCTGGAGTAAAGCCCCCTGCCCCCCAAACTTCCACTCGAAAAGTCTCTGCTCCTCCTCCTCCAACAGCTCCACCTCCACCACCTTCATCCGCATCACCTCCTCCCCCGCCGTCTGCTCCTCCACCTCCTCCAGCAGTTGCCGCACCCCGCCCACCTCCATCACGATCGAATCCCCCACCCCCGCCTCCGGCAGCATCACCTAGCGCCAATGGGTCCCACGCAGCAGCCTCAGCGGCATCGATAGCGATGCAGGCCGCTAGAAATGCATTCTCCCAAGCAACTCATCCGCAACCCCCCCAACCATCGTCCGCTCCATCCCACCCCCCGGCTCCTCCTCCACCTCCCCCGCAATCATCTCCTCCCTCATCCGCGCGAACATCATCCTTACTATCAACTCCACTCACCTCGCGTCCCTCATCATTTGCAGACCAGCAGAATCAACATCAAGTACCTCAGCAGCAGCAACAGCCCAACCGGTCACTACTCGACCCAAGTAACTATACCCTCACAAACGGCGGTTCCTCGCCCCGACCCAGCTCTCGAGGCAGCAACAGGCGAGGCAGCTCACAGGGAATCCGGATCGAGGACCCAAGATTCAAATTCCAGAATGAGTCGTTATTTCCGAAACCCAGGGAGTTCCGTGGTGGCCAGAAGTTGTACAGGGCTGGGAGGGGGAGTAGTGTTCCGTTGGATCTTTCGGCGTTGGGTTGAGGGGTATTGTTTGCGCTCATTTACATACAACACAATAATACTTGCTTGAGTTAGTTTCTCAAACCATGCAGGTTGAAATTGATGTTAATATTTCATGTTTCTTCACCTTCCACTCCTAGCCGGCCCTCTTCGCTTTTTACCATTTTTATCGCGTGTATGATGGGATTGATACGGGTTACCGAACGGTTGACAAATGACCCTGGCCTTCTTTGGGATTTGGATGGGAACAGTAGAGATCTAGAAGTGGAATCCATGTTTTATGGTAGCCAACAACCCCATTTCATTAGACTCTTGTAGTCTTTGTCTCTTGGATGAACAGAAAAGCGAAGGGAAGTGGAGTTTGATCATACTTTTCTTCTCTTTCTCCTACCTTGCGCATGCGTTCTTAGGATGCATTTGGTTCTTTGCGGACTTTTTGTATTAGTCTTCTTGGGGTGTTAAGCTATTTACGGCCCCCTCTAAAAGGGCAGTTTTCTCTGAATGTTCAGTATACTATTGAGTATCTGTCATATTTTATGCATACATTACTTTTTTTACTCTCTTAGGTGAAATTAACTACGGGCTATCTTGATTGAATAAAGGTAAATCATATTTAGCAGAGAATCTATGATTACAAGAATATCAAACTTCTTTCATTGTATTCATACTCCACGCTAAAGGTCGTTGAATTTCCATCTAGCCCAATTGATCTGACATCAATTTTGTGGCACTCTCCGTTTCCGTTCTTAACATGCTAAAAATCACTACTCATCTCACATGCATCTATGTAAGTACGCGGGGCATCAATCTCCATCGGCACACAATAACGATCCCGCCCCTCCCCCTCGCGATCCACTCCTATTTCTTCCTCTCTCCCTTCCCCATTGCCCAGTTCACCCCATCGCCCATACTCCGGAAGCGCATTCCTCTCCGCATACCCTTCCCTCCACTGCTCCATAGTCGGCCGCGCAACAAGCGGCAGATGACACCAGAGACAGATCCTTCTCCGGCCATTGTCCTCACCCGGCGGCCTAGCACACCCCTCACCACTACACGTCTGGATCGGCTCCTGGCCCGTTCGGACCTGAATCTCGCGACATTTCGAACACATCCAGCCGTCCTTGGCGGTGCAGTTGCAGTATGCGCTGGCCACCTGGGCGAAATCTGGTGCTGCCGATGGCCGCTGGCTGTCGTGGGGGTTGCCGGAGAGCCAGCAGTCGATGCATAAGGGGCGCGTGCGGCTTTTATAGGCTGAGGTAGATTGGCGGAAGGATTCCTTCGTGTGTATGTGGAAATATATTGTTATTATAATGTGGTCAACCCGCTTGGGGATTATTGTGTGTGTGTTGGGATGTGCCGGGAACATACTTTGACAATGCATGCTTCACAGACTGGCAACGAGCAGTATTTGCATAACCGTGGAGCCGGGCCTCTTGTGTGGGTTGGCTCTGAGCAGAGGAGCTGTCCGCTTTTCTTTATGCGCTTCCAGTACAAGGTCTGGTGATCTCCGATATGGATATCTGGCCTAATGCGTTGCCGCTGGCCTTTGCCCTGATTGTGGACGTCTCCCGGACCCGAGATTGGAAGCGCAAATCCGTGAAGAACAGCCCTATAATGGGAGTTGACGCGCGATAGATTCAAGATATCGCCAAGTCCCATTTGAGGGACAAGAACGGACACCACCGGGAATTGGCGTATGAGGTCTAGGAGCTCTACCTTTCGGCTGTTTTTGTTGCCAGAACTGTGTGGAAAGAAGGAATTTGTCATCGCTGCCGTCGCCGTCGCCATCGCTGCGTAATAACGAAGCCGCAAAAATTGGGTATCATCGATAATCAACAGAATTAACTGGGCAGTATCAACGGAGATATTTGGTATTCTCTCCAGGCTGAAATGTAGGGGCCAACTCACTGCCAACTCAAGGGAACTCTGCAGCCCCTCCGTCTAGGAAGCGACTTTACTGGCCAAGTTACGTGAAGAAGCGTTATCAGGAATCTTGTCCGTATTATTCAATAGTAGAAATCATCCAAGGGGAAATGATATGGCCATCTAGTGAAAATGTGTGAATTTATAATTACGTCATTGTTGTTTTACGGCGTTAATTTATTCCGACGAAACCGCCAAGCCGTTCCTTTTGCACTAGTTTATTTCGCCTTGGTCGCCATAGACCTTCTTTGATATTCCCAGACTCACATAGCTGAACAATCTAGTTGTATACAGAACAAGGGGCTTGGTGAACCATTTTCCCCTTGCCTCTCAATCTCACCCCATGCGAGTTTTTTGTACCCGGTGATCGTTTGCGGTTGCTCTGCTGATTTCCTGCCCAAGAAAGAGGGGGTTTCACCTCACTCGACTCTTTCATTCCGAAGACCGCTCAATTGAAGAAAGTTCAGGGCTCAGAGACCGGATAGCTGCAGACCAGCCATGTCCCTCCAATCCTACATAAACAGTTGAGTACCCAATTGATATGCTTCTGTTACAGCGAACAGGCCGCACACTCGCAGCTCTGCCTACTCAATATATAGTGCCAGGCCATAAGTATTGGCAACCCCACTACTTTTCTGCACCATGATCTGAGTGGGGGTTTGCCAATACTTATGGCCTGGTATAGTACATCTATATATATCGGTATATATACTAACCTCACCAAACACACAAAATAGAAAAGGTCCTGATCCTAACGGTAGACGGTCGTACCCTAATCGGCACCCTCCTCTCAACCGACCAACTCACAAACCTCGTCCTCTCACAGACCGTCGAGCGCATAATACGGACCCCGGATGACCCCGAGCCCAGCTCGCAGGTCGAACACGGCCTGTATCTAATACGTGGCGACAACGTCGTCATCTGCGGCGAAGTGGATGAGGAGATCGACAGCGGCATTGACTGGGCTAAAGTCAAGGGGCAGATGGTTAAAGGCACGAAAAATATCTGAGGGCCAGTGTGAGCGCAGGGCGAGGGGTTGATTCTGGAGCTAAGGGGACACTACGTCAAGTGTGTGTATGCTCTCTTCTTTCCTATATGCTGCTTCTGGCCGCCAGCTGTTGAAAATCTACTTTTTTGGCTGGCGTGGGGGGAAGAGAAGAGAAGCTTATCCTTCTCATTTTATATTCCTGCGAATAGGCTGCTACGCGTGTGAGGGCATTGTCAGAGAAGATTGGCCTATTCGCGAAGACAAGGAGGGGGAAAGTGGGGAAAGTGGGGAAAGTGGCCAAAAACAAGGGAAAGTTTTCAAAAAAGGAAGCGGGAGTCGATTACCCGGAAAGTAGTGGAGATGGAAAGAAAGAATATGGAAAATAGGAAATAGAAAAACGGATTTTGGTGGGAATCTATTTCCTTTTTGAGGTATTCTCATGTCAAGGCACCCCAGGGCTAGGGCTAGCCCATCTTGAGCTCTAGTCGGCAGCCGGCTAGCTGATATGTCGGACATGATTTGGATTATGGTTAAGCGCAAGGGTGAACGGGGTTGAGTCGAAGGAAAGTGTGAGACGTCTTCTCTCTCTATTTTTCCCCATCAACTGTTGTTTTTTGTCGATGAGGCGTTCTGGAGTGTCTTACCTGAAAAGGGCATGAACTGTACTTACCAATGAACCATTCTTACTAGGTTCATGCATAAATGGCGTTCTAATTGATAGACTTTTTTTTTGGCAGGGGTCATTCAACTCCATCTCATCACATTGTCGGATTCGATCATGCATTCAAATCCAGATATTTGTACAGGACTCGCACGACAAATTCCAGGGCAGGAAACAATGCAGCTATTCCAAGGAATTGGAGCGTGGCACGGATGTGATATATAGTAACTTCCAACAAAGGGCTTCGTTTTCCAAAGTGCAGAGTACGAAATTCCTGCTTCGAAGCCCACCCAAGATGCAGGTTCACACTACGAACGGGGACAGAAGAGGATAAATATGCAAGACATACTCCGTAGGGCGATCTCCATTCGGCTTTGTTTTCTTTTCTTTTCTTTTTCTTTTCTTCTAGAAAATTTCACCAAGGGAGCCAATATTAATTTATGTTCCAGTAAAATCTCAAAACGCCAATACGCTGTAACCAGCCATCAAAATTTGCATTTATTGTGGTGATTGATGCGTAGTACTTGTACATGTACCCATTGTCATTCTTCTACATATGATACGAGAGGGGAAAGAATCATTTACTTATTTACCTAATGCAGAGCATTCTGCCAGTATGGATTTCTAGACACATAAACTGCATGTAGCTAAAGAAAAAGAAAGAAGAAAAAGAAACAAAAAATAAGAATCGGGCCCTGATCGACACAGCCAACCACAGGATAGTTCTAAGAAGAGGGCCATGGATGACACTTGCATGATAGGAAATCAAGGTGAGCCAATGGCTGGATAACATACGGAGTAGATAGAGATTAGTTAGAACTAAGTCTAGCTTGGAAACTTGGAACCAACTGATATTTGCTTTCTGCTCCAGAAAACTCATTTCAAGAGTTGAAAAATCTTGAGCTCTGAAGGTTTGAAACGGAATCAAGATTCAAGAATCAAGCCATTTGGATCCGCGCCCGTCGAATTGTTTCCCGTCGCCTTCCCCCCGCGCTACTCACACGGTAAAGGGGCCACCGAACCTAGCTAGAGGCCAATTGCCATGAGCATCCCTGTTGCTGTTACAGAGGAGACGGAGTTACATGGGAGTGGGTTAGTGTTGGATACCCAGCCAGGTATGATTTGATTACCTCAAGCCATGCACACCTTGTTCATCTTCGCGGGATCATGCTCCCATGTGCCGCAGCGTACATGCACAGAGCTGGATGCAGAAATTAAACGAGATAACCTGCTTGACAAGGGGGATTTTCGGGACAAATTACAGCGTCAATGATGTTTCCATATCCATGAATTATTACCTGATCAGAGGAGCAAATACCAGGAGTTCTTTGTCTCGGGAGCATCAAGGGATAGCAAGTCGCTCTTCTGCGTCGTTCAAACTACTCCGTACTCGGGGATGTCGAAGTCATCATGTCCCTGCGTCTGCTTCCAGTGCTTTGTCCTGCGCGTTGGTGTTTTGGGGGCGGAGACATCCCACAACACCACGAGGCCACTGGCGCGAGGCGGGGACATTTGGCTTGTATCAGAGTTCGAGGCTGGAACTCTGCAACCCAATTTACACTTCGGCGTGGAAACTCAACTTAAATAAAAGAACCAAAAATAGTCAAATAGTATTATTATTCCCCGAAAAATTAACGCGGCTTAGGTTTCCTTCTTTCAATGCTGGCCATGCCATTTCATTCCATCCTTCTCTGCTCCTTGTGCTCTCGACCCGGTGTCAATTCTTCTCGTCAACTGGGCCTGTGAACCCACTGCTACGTGCAGGGTTGAGGTGTTCTACGTCCCATGGTCGTCATCACTGTCGTTAGTATGGTTTTCACGGTTTCGCCCCACCGCCCCTGAGCGATCAACTTGGCTCCAATCAAAATACAACTATACAACATCAACTGTTCATAGTATATACCAGTGTCTCTATCAAACGGACTGAGGAGGAGGACACGCACACACAAGGTAACTGCGCACCACCTTGGGCAAGTGGCACAAACCAGCTTGCGCTGTCTGTCTGTCTGCCCGTCACTCACCCGTCACGATTTCCCCTCCATTCTGCCTCATTATCCCATCCGACAGACATTGCGACTCGCCTCTACTATTATCTCCTACACCTATTCTAGCACTACTGGTCTTCAGAAAGCCGGGAGCCCCTCCAGTCACCATTGTGCCGCTATCTGTCTGTATCTCAGAATATCGCCAATGTGCGTCCCTACACTCTGTCATTCGCATCCCTACTCTCCTTACTGTCCACTCGCCACTGTCTGCTCTACTTACAAACAAGAGAAAACGTAAAGCATAAGGGCCGTTAATTGAAAGCCTGGGTGAGAAAAAAGGGGGGGGAGGGGGACAGCAGAGCCTAAGGGGGAAAGAAAGAAAGGAAAAAAGAGACATAGAAAGCCGGCTGAGAGAGGGAGGATAATAATAACATATATATACACATCATCATGTGGCTCTACCGCGGCGCCCAATCCGCTGTCTTCTACTACGCGACCTGCACTCCCTGTGCCGCCTCCATCGATCGTAGAAAACGGAAAAGGGATGCTGCAAATACACACCGTGAACCACCTCCTACCACCACCTCTTCCAATAACCAGAACGACATCGTGATGGACCAGCCGCCAGTCATCTTCCACCAACCAGTCCCGTTTACCACCAACTCCTACTGGGAAGAGGAGATTACGCTGGGACCTGGACCCCCTGTTAGGAGAGCCGGGAGGAGAAATAACACTAACAGTAGCGGTCATCAGAGTTGCAAGAATTGCAAGAGATGCAAGAAGCAAAAGAATAATTCGAATTCCCCCCATGCTGTGGGGTGTCAGGGGGGTAATCCTGCAAAGGCCAGAGCAGGAGCAGCACAGTCTCAATCACAGGAATCTCCACTGCAGAATGGTATGGGTGCGTTAGCTGGCGCCGTGTCGGGCGTTCTGGAGGATCTGGTGCCGTCGAGGAAGGAACTTGGCGATCGCTGGAATAGAATACGGTACCAGCGGGAAGATGAGGTGCTTTGGGGCGGTGCGGGCAGTGGCGCTGGTGGGGACCTAGGGTCGGAGATCAAGGGCTCATCTGTTGGTTTATCTGGGCGCGGGAGAGCAGGTACATCCGACTCCGCGGGGTACTACGCAGCAAGGAATCCGGCGGTTAATGATCTTCATCCTCCTGTTGTTTGTGGGCCAGTCAGTCGTGCGGAGACGCGGTGGATGCTGCAACCACCGCCCAGCGCGAAGGTGATGGAGGGGAAAGTCCGGTCTACGGCTTCTGTTTCTGTGCGGAATGGCAGACAGAGGGGTTTTGAGAGGGATGTAGATGGCAATGGCAATGGGAATGGGAAAGAGGGGCCAAGGGGGAAGACATCCGCCTCCCCTCAAATGAGCCAAATGAAGCAGCAGAGGCAGAGGCAGAGGCAAGCTGACGGACAGCTTGATGGATGTGATTCTGCACATCAACAAGCGCGGACGGAACAACAACCCCCTCTGGAAACCCCTTTACGAAAGATAAAAACTCAGGATGAGCCACCTGCAATTCGTGCGATGTCTGATAACTTCCTCTCCCTCTCGCTATCGTCGAAAGATGATTCTCTGCTGCGCTCTCCGCGTCCCGTGTTAGCTCCTCTAACCGGCAGCCCTAGGCAACCTTCAGTTCATCCCGATCACCACGACAATTATCACCCATACCATCAAAATGATAATGCAAACACCTTGACCTTAAAACCTCAGTCCACCCCTCCGGTGTCGTGCCAGTGGCCACAGAAACGTGCTGAAGACCCTCAACTGCAATCGCAATCACAATCACGACCTACATCAAAAGCTACTAGTGATAGCGGAAAATCATTTACTATCCAACAGAAGCAGCAGCAGCAGCAGCGAAACCGCCAATGCCAACACCATCGTCAACCGGATAAGCTACATACAGCCTGGCCATCATCCACTCTCGATATTGCTATGAAACACCACGATCTCGTGCGAAGTGTAAGGCTGGAACTTAGCAACCCAGAGACGGCGTACTTTTACGATATTGGTGATGACGACGGCGACGGTGACGACAGTGATTACGGCGGTCATTATGATGGTCGCGTCAGCGATGGTGAGAAGCAGCGGGGAAAGAGGTATGATGTCCGGCCTTGGCGGTGGAGTATGGACATTTGAGTTATTTCTTATTCCTGCCTTTGGAACTGGAGTTGGCTGTGCTGTATAGTTTCTCTCTCTTGCTTGGGCTTCTATTTTCCTCTTTCCCTTTTTTTTTTTGAAGCGCCTTTCTATATCATTTGATCAAAGGATATGTGTTAAACCTTTTCCTTGTTATCCTAACTCCTCCCTCATTTTTGGGCCCCTACTGCAATGGAGCTTTATACCAACAACCTCATTATCATCTCCAGTCGACTACCCCCTATCTCCCTACAGACTCGAAACCTCCGCGGGAGCCTCTTTATTCATTACTGTCCCCCCCCCCCCCCCACTGTCTCTTGAGGAAGGATTTGAAATTCGTTCCGCACTCCTTTATTACTCTTCCCCCTGTTCACTACCGCTGAGCTTCCTGATTCGGCTGATATGTGAGTTTACATACACATACATACCTATGCCTCTACACCTCCATACCCCTACATAAGACGTGCTCCAATCTATATAGGATTGAGAAAATAATAAATAGAGAGAAAAGTCATTTTTCTCTTTCATCTTTAGAGCCTAGAGCCTTCTTTTCTTTGATGCACTGCCTCCCACGCTTGAACACGGTCTAGTTAGTTCCACGCCCACGACTACGCAACCTTCAAAAACACACAACCACAAGCACAAACACAGCTTGATTTGAAATATCTCATCCTGCATCACCTAGAACCCCAAAAACTATTATGATTATGATTATGATCATGATTATGATTATTGTGGCGCAGAATGAAGCATCGCCAACAACGCACATCTCTATATACAATCAAAATATCAAGTAAAAAAATCAGTTCATTTAACGAGACCGCGCAGACTGCACCCTGAATCCCATGCATGTGCAATAATACATATACAGGATGTTGTACGTTATCTACCAGGAAGGCTTGGGCCACCATAAGGTATAAAGGAACGGGGGAATTGGTTTGATATGGCCAGCTAAGTTAACTTCCAAGCAAAGGGTTCCTGTCCGTGACTGATGCTGGTGATCCCTTCCCACGGCATTTGAAGCTTTTTATTTCATTAAAGCCGCACTTCAAACGGCTGGCAAATAAACGGTCACACAGCTAACTCTACAACTTTTACAGTTTGCAGATCTATAACCAACTTACTGTTCCTCCTACTGAGCGAAGATGGAGGCGAGGTGGTATTTGAGAAATCCCATTCAATTAATTACAAAATCAACCAGACCCAAACGCCCAACCAGCTCTGGTTCTACGAGAAACATCGTCATCCTCAAGTTAGTTAAACTCTGGGATATCACTGCTGAGGGGAGCTGATCGATAGACATGGCCACCGGAATCGTCGCGACGGCCCACAATGCTTTCCCGAGCCCACCATCCATCCCCATCTCCACAACCGTCGTCGTCGTTGTCGTCGTTGTTCCAGTAGTACTCCTTCTTGTAAAACTTCACACGGATTCACTAAGATACATCCCGGGCCCGCTTATCGCGCGCCTCACCCCCCTCTGGCTCTGGACCCTGACCCACCGCGGTATCGAATGCCGCCTCGCCGCGCTTCATAGCCGCTACGGCCCCGCAGTGCGTATCGCGCCCAACGAAGTCGATCTCTCCGACGCCGCTGCGCTGTATCCCCTCTGCGCGAAGAATGGCGGCTGCGCCAAGAACCCCGTCTACGCCAACTATGACATCGACGGATTCGCGACGATTTTCTCCGCCGTGGATCCCGTGCAGAGGGCCGCAAAGGCGGCGGCTGTAGCTCCCCTCTTCGCGCAACGGGCGATCGTGGAGGGGAGGGAGCTGGGGGCGAGGAGAGCAGTAGCGCACGGCGCGCCCATCGACGTCCTGGATCTGTTCCGCTACTTGGCCATCGACGTTGTGAGCCTGTATCTGTTCGGGGAGTCGTTCGGCGGGCTCGGGAGCAAGGCCCCACTCGCCGCGATGCCCTTCGTGGATGCGTTCGCTGCAGGCGGCCGGTTTTTCTACGTACCTGGATGGCTCTTCAGGCACGTCGACCACTGGGCCGGCAAGTTTGAGAAGGGGGCAAGGTCCATTGCCGCGAGCACGGCTGTCGTTAAAGAGTTCGCGGCACGGGTG